CTCCTCAATCTCCACTCCTCAATCTCCACTCCTCAATCTCCACTCCTCATCTCCACTCCTCAATCTCCACTCCTCATCTCCACTCCTCAATCTCCACTCCTCAATCTCCACTCCTCAATCTCCCACTCCTCAATCTCCACTTCCTCAATCTCCACTCCTCAATCTCCACTCCTCAATCTCCACTCCTCAATCTCCACTCCTCAATCTCCACTCCTCAAATCTCCACTCCTCACTCCACTCCTCAATCTCCACTCCTCAATCTCCACCTCCTACAATCTCCCCTCCTCAATCTCCACTCCCTCAATCTCCACTCCTCAATCTCCACTCCCATCTCCACTCCTCAATCTCCACTCCTCAATCTCCACTCCTCAATCTCCACTCCTCAATCTCCACTCCTCAATCTCCACTCCTCAATCTCCACTCCTCAATCTCCACTCCTCAATCTCCACTCCTCAATCTCCACTCCTCAATCTCCACTCCTCAATCTCCACTCCTCAATCTCCCCCTCACTCAATCTCCACTCCTCAATCTCCACTCCTCAATCTCCACTCCTCAATCTCCACTCCTCATCTCCACTCCTCAATCTCCACTCCTCAATCTCCACTCCTCAATCTCCACTCCTCAATCTCCACTCCTCAATCTCCCCTCCTCACTCTCCACATCCTCAATCTCCATCCTCAATCATCTCCACTCCTCGATCTCCACTCTCAATCTCCACTCCTCAATCTCCACGCCTCAATCTCCACTTCCTCAATCTCCACTCCTCAATCTCCACTCCTCAATCTCCACTCCTCAATCTCCACTCCTCAATCTCCACTCCTCAATCTCCACTCCTCAATCTCCACTCCTCAATCTCCACTCCTCAACCTCCACTCCTCAATCTCCACTCCTCAACCTCCTCCACTCCTCAATCTCCACTCCTCAATCTCCACTCCTCAATCTCCACTCCTCAATCTCCACTCCTCAATCTCCACTCCTCAATCTCCACTCCTCAACCTCCACTCCTCAAGCTCCACTCCTCAATCTCCACTCCTCAATCTCCACTCCTCAATCTCCACTCCTCAATCTCCACTCCTCAATCTCCACTCCTCAATCTCCACTCCTCAATCTCCACTCCTCAATCTCCACTCCTCAATCTCCACTCCTCAATCTCACTCCTCAATCTCCACTCCTCAATCTCCACTCCTCAATCTCCACTCCTCAATCTCCACTCCTCAATCTCCACTCCTCAACCTCCACTCCTCACCTCCACTCCTCAATCTCCACTCCTCAATCTCCACTCCTCAATCTCCACTCCTCAATCTCCACTCCTCAATCTCCACTCCTCAATCTCCACTCCTCAATCTCCACTCCTCAATCTCCACTCCTCAATCTCCACTCCTCAATCTCCACTCCTCAATCTCCACTCCTCAATCTCCACTCCTCAACCTCCACTCCTCAACCTCCACTCCTCAATCTCCACTCCTCAATCTCCACTCCTCAATCTCCACTCCTCAATCTCCACTCCTCATCTCCACTCCTCCATCTCCACTCCTCGATCTCCACTCCTCGATCTCCACTCCTCGATCTCCACTCCTCGAATCTCCACTCCTCAATCTCCACTCCTCAACCTCCACTCCTCAATCTCCACTCCTCAATCTCCACTCCTCAATCTCCACTCCTCAATCTCCACTCCTCAATCTCAACCCCTCAATCTCCACTCCTCAAGCTCCACTCCTCAAGCTCCACTCCTCAAGCTCCACTCCTCAATCTCCACTCCTCAACTCCTCAATCTCCACTCCTCAATCTCCACTCCTCAATCTCCACTCCTCAATCTCCACTCCTCAATCTCCACTCCTCAATCTCCACTCCTCAATCTCCACTCCTCAATCTCCACTCCTCAATCTCCACTCCTCAATCTCCACTCCTCAATCTCCACTCCTCAATCTCCACTCCTCAATCTCCACTCCTCAAGCCTCCACTCCTCAACCTCCACTTCCTCAATCTCCACTCCTCAATCTCCACTCCTCAATCTCCACTCCTCAATCTCCACTCCTCAATCTCCACTCCTCAATCTCCACTCCTCAATCTCCACTCCTCAATCTCCACTCCTCAATCTCCACTCCTCAATCTCCACTCCTCAATCTCCACTCCTCAATCTCCACTCCTCAATCTCCACTCCTCAATCTCCACTCCTCAATCTCCACTCCTCAATCTCCACTCCTCAATCTCCACTCCTCAATCTCCACTCCTCAATCTCCACTCCTCAATCTCCACTCCTCAATCTCCACTCCTCTCCTCATCTCCACTCCCGATCTTCCACTCCTCGATCTCCACTCCTCGATCTCCACTCCTCAACCTCCACTCCTCAATCTCCACTCCTCAATCTCCACTCCTCAACCTCCACTCCTCAACCTCCACTCCTCAATCTCCACTCCTCAATCTCCAGCTCCTCAATCTCCACTCCTCAATCTCCACTCCTCAATCTCCACTCCTCAATCTCCACTCCTCAATCTCCACT